GTTGTAAAGGATACATGAGCATCATTTTGTCTAGTACAATAACCCACTTCTTGTAATGGCCAAGATTAAACTGATTGAATCTTTGCACAGCATAAAACGTATAAACCATTCGGTACAATGGTCTGAAAATCTAGACTATTACTTATTTGCTCTATAGCTCATAAGTCGATTTGATAAATAATAGTCGTTAAAATTTCACTTGAAGACATTTTCAAACCCCACCTTTTTCAGGGAAGTTCTAAATCAGTATTATCTTTCAAATGCCGTTGGAATTTAACCTTTTCATTTTTGGGGTCTGCAAATGGGACATAGTACCTTTAAGGCTGATGCGATTTATAACGTGATTTAATCAATTCAGTTCAATTCTATTCATGGTACAAAATTCATCTATTCCTGTACCCAAACCCTTGGTGGTTTGTGAGTTCGTGCGCTATCTTGCCGTCACCCTATGCATCACATAAATGTCGGCGTTAACTTACGATATCTCTGATAACTGGTATACTTTATTTGATTTAAATTGTACCTCTCGCTTACAATAATTGGAGGGAGGTTTTGCATTACTGATGCCGAAGTTCTGTTCCTCGTTAAACGCGATCGTAAACCACATGTATGGAGCTGACGTGAATCAATCACGTATATATGCCGGGTTTATATTACATGGAGAAAGAACTTTTTTCTTCTTCCTTCTTTTTTTAAGCCAAGAAACCTTTTCGGCATTGATATAATTCGCAATTCGACTTCTTCCCTGTCTCAGTCTGCTTTCCTCATGCACCTGTAAGTTCTACTTTCGACCTATCCTTGTACAGTTATAACCTTAGAGATTGTTTGGGATATATTACGGATGTACGTGTACATGTACCTGTATGTCTGGCCTGCTGTATGACATACAATTCATATTAATATGATCCGTTTTGTCAATTGTTATTTGACCTCTGCAGTATTAGTAGGAGACCAGCCTGTAGGTCCCGTGACCAATCTCGGGGAACAAAGGTTTGAAAGTGTTTTTGTGTTCCTTGATGAATACCGAACAATTTTGACTTGGGCTGCCCCCTCGAAAATCCCAGGCATTTCCGTGATGGGTCAACAAAGGTCATACAGGGTAGAAATTCAAATATACTCAAATCGTGTCGATATGCATATCAAATTACTCGTCTGGTCATGAGGATTGAAAAAATGTATAGTTTGCTATACCTCCGACCTTAAATGAGGGCGCTATGGTCAAAAACGTTGAAAGGTCAACACACTTTTGACTGGTGGTCAAATTCACCAACACAGTGAACCTTATCAAATTTCATATCAAATTACTCGTCTGGTCATGAGGATTCAAAAAATGTATAGTTTGTTATACCTCCGACCTTAAATTAGGGCGCTATGGTCAAAAAGGTCAATGCACTCTAGACTGGTGGTCAAACTTACCAACACAGTTAACATTGTCCGATTCTAATGATTTTAGTGTCTTATATGTTTTCTGACACGGCAAATTCAACTATACAACTTTCAAAATTAAAAGTACTTATCTTGACCATGTACATTCAAAATGGCTGCCGTTTCGGTGACAAACATATAACTTCTTATCCATGGGTTTGAGGGAAATTTCAAGGTTATGGCAACCACTTTTGGTTTTAAAAGTTGCTTAGTTGAATTTTTTATGTCAGAAAACATATTATTAGACACTAAAATCATTAGAATCGGACAATGTTAACTGTGTTGGTAAATTTGACCACCAGTCTAAAGTGCATTGACCTTTTTGACCATAGCGCCCTCACTTAAGGTCAGAGGTATAACAAACTATACATTTTTGTAATCCTTATGACCAGACGAGTAATTTGATATGAAATTTGATAAGGTTAACCGTGTTGGTGAATTTGACCACCAGTCAAAAGTGTGTTGACCTTTCAACGTTTTTGACCATAGCGCCCTCATTTAAGGTCGGAGGTATAGCAAACTATACATTTTTTCAATCCTCATGACCAGACGAGTAGTTTGAAATGCATATCGACAAGATTGGAATTTATTTGAATTTCTACCCTATATGACCTTTGTTGACCCCTCACGAAAATGCCTGGGATTTTCAAGGGGCAGCCCAAGTCAAAATTGTTCGGTATTCATCAGGGAACACAAAAACACTTTCAAACCTTTGTTCCCCGAGATTGGTCACGGGACCTACAGGCTGGTCTCCTACTATATGTAACTGGTATTGCAATCTGCATCTCTTCGGTAGCGAGTATTACATTTTCCATATGTATTGTTATATGAAATGGCTACGTGTTGTTATGTTGAGAGAGAGTGAGAGAGAGAGAGAGAGAGAGAGAGAGAGAGAGAAGAAGAAAAAAAGAGGTGATGTGTTATTTTTCATGTAACAACAAGTAGGTCAGGTCGCAAGAGAGTGTGATTGTGGGGGGGGGGGGGGGGGTGAGAGAGAGAGATAGAGAGAGGGGAGGGATGGGGAGGGGGAGAAAGCAGGTTGAGAATGATAAAAGCCCCAAAAGAACAATACTAACATTACTTTCAGTCTCTGTTTTCTCTTGATATTGAGAGTAAAAATTGAAAACACTTGATGTACATGTAAATTGGAAAAAAAGTTTTCATCTCTTTTACATATTTTTTCTTGGTGTTTGTTTTCAATCTCGGTTATCTTGCTATGCACTTTCAACAATTTCATTTCATATATATATCAAATTATACCTGTAAATTACTCTCACTCTCATACAGCTTAGCCACACAAGAAGAAACACATGAAGTTAATACGTTTGCTGAGATTGCATATTCATTTATTACATTACTTATTTACAATGTACATGATCAATATATAAAATAAAAATGATGGTTCAGCAAAGCAGATAGACATGCTTGTTCACAAATGCATCTTGCACAGGGTTTGTCAGCAGGACAGATAACACCAGGGACCTGTTTCACAGAGCCTTTTTTTTCAATGACAAATGACAAAAATCAGTGACAAATCTGTTGATGACCAATCAGAAGCAAGGATTTCACTAGCTGATAACAAAAACTGTCATTTGTCACTGATTGTGAAATGGGGCACTGGGCCTGTATTCAAATAAATACTCAAGTACAAAATTTAAGCTTTTTACTTAGTACTTGGCTTAGACAAGATACTTTTTATTTTTGGTATTCAATTCAAACTTTTGGCTACCGGTTAGTATTTTACCCTGAATTTATGACACCCTACCAGACCTAAGCCAATTATTTGGAGGCCTTGATTGGCAGGCATATGTTTTTTTTTATGCAGTATTATACCCTGCGCACAATTATATTGGCGCGCATTTATAGCGACGTGTTAATTGCGCATTACTTTTGATTGACCATGTGGTGTCACATTGCTTATCAGTAAGTATTTTGCTTAGATTTTGTCTCAGGTTAGTAAAAGTCTAAAATGTGATTTAAATACAAGATAAGTAAACTTCTTAGCTTAGCCATTAACTTGGTAAATTTCTTACTTAGTCTAAATATTGAATTGAATACCGGCCCTGGAGTGTAAGGTTTAGAATAAATAGAATATTGAGCCGTGTTCTACATATGTATCTCTATCAAACTGTTGTGACATTAGCATTCTCCAAGCAGCACCCTTGATGTCAAGAGGGAACTTCCCTAATGAGACTTCAAGAGAGCCTCTTGATGATCTTTATGAACCCAATGCAAATTTTTCACAAACAAAAGATAAAATACATGCAATGGTAACCATGCAGAACAAAAAGTGGAACAAGATAGATTTAAATGATATACCGGGTATTAGCTTTGAGCTAACACACATTTTTAACATAACATCGAATTCAGTCCGACGTCATTTCCTCTAATGCAGGTACTATGTAATCCATGAATTAGAAGATTACTCTATGCCTACCTAATTCTATTCTAGGAAAGAGTTATGTTTCCCCTCCATCTGTCTGTCTGTCTTTCTCTCTCTCTCTCTTCCACTCTATCTCCCCCCCCCCTTTCCATCTCCCTTTTCACCAAATCTCACTCGCATTTCCTATTCAATATAACTCCATCACCTTTGTCCATAAAGGAAATATGGTCTAATGGTCAAATTGTCCACAATTCATTTCCGAAAGGGTCTTTTAGTTAAAAGAATTACATCAAGATGCTTCTTAGGTACATGCTAGAATCCAAGCAGTTCATGCAACAACAAAAAGTTTGTCTGTAAGCTGGCACAACTTCCTTCAACATTTAGATGTGAAGCTCATCTCCTGTCTTGCGACCACAGCCTGGCAAGCTGATACAAATCAGAGGAGGCGCGATAGCTCAGTATGTAGAGCAGTGGTCTCGTAATCCGGTGACCCGGGTTCGAAACTAAGTCGAAGCGCTAGTGCCCTTTGGTAAGGCATTAATCCTCATTACCAGGTCCCTCAGAGAGGACCTAAAACCGTCCACCGTCTGGTTGCTTACTAACAAGCATTTATACTTTCTTAGCAGTCAGGTACAAAATAACCACCACATATACATATACAAGTATACCACAAAGTGATCTCCTCGATACATGTCCTCACACAACTTTGGTCCTTGCACGATTTCATTCCCTCCAAAATTTTGGTCTTCAACCATATTTTCAATTTGAGATTTCAGAAATGTTAGGCATTGGCATTGTCACTACTGAGTGGCCTATATAGCAAGGGTCAAAGGTCAGGTCCTTGATTCTCTATTATCTTCTTGTTTGACACAGAGCTTTAGCAGTCATTCTCCTAGGCGTTGGTCCCTCGAGCTGTCCAATGGCTAAGGCCAAGTCTTGCATGATTGTCACTACTGAGTGACCTATAGCAGGGTCAAAGGTTAAGGGTCAAGTCCTGGATTCTGTATTATCTCCTTGTTTGACACAGTGCTTTAGCAGCTATCCTCCTTGGTGTTGGTCCTTCGAGCTGTCCAATGGCTAAGGCCAAGTCCTGCATGAAGACACCAGAGAGTGTATTGAGAAGGTGCGTAGCAAGGGACAAGGGTCAAGGGTCAAGTCCCGGATTCTCTATTATCTCCTTGTTTGACACAGGGCTTTAGCAGCCATCCTCCTTGGTGTTGGTCCTTCGAGCTGTCCAATGGCTAAGGCCAAATCCTGCATGAAGACGCCAGAGAGTGTATTGAGAAGGTGCGTGGCCTGGATCACAAGGGACAAGGGTCAAGGGTTAAGGGTCAAGTCCTGGATTCTCCATTATCTCCTTGTTTGACACAGAGCTTTAGCAGCCATCCTCCTTGGTGTTGGTCCCTCAAGCTGTCCAATGGCTAAGGCTAAGTCCTGCATGAAGACGCCAGAGAGTGTATTGAGAAGGTGCGTGGCCTGGATCATAAACGAAAAGAGAAAGTGCATTTCAGTTGCAATAGTTAACTTGCAGAGTTAAATGTTTCTTGCCCTTCCTCATTATCCATGTGACAAAAAAGGTGAATGAAAATAAGATTACACAAGGTTTGTGTTGATCAGAATCAGTCAGTTATCAGCAGAGAAAAATCCTCAGACAGCGATTCTGAAAAACTTAAAATCATCATGTCAACAACAACCAAAGTACAGTAATCACTTAGCTTTCCTATGATGATGCATATTGGTATCTAGTTTGAATTCAAAGGATTTGAAATATCTTTTGGCAATTTTTTTTTACAAGACAAACAGTGACAAAACGATCCATCATTAACACTTGTCTCATGGTATTGCAGTTGTTGTATAAGGTGCAACTTGGTGGCAAAGGATTTGACCCCTGTTGACACGTAATTTGGCGGGGTGCGGAAAATAATAATAATAATAATAATAATAATGGGGGCTTCTTACATGTATGTAGCGCACATGTCCGTCACGTTGTGACGCTCCTGGCGCTGCCCCAATTATTAAAATGAGGTTTTAATATGCTTTTGTGCAATAATAAAAGGGAAAACATTGTATTATATCTTTATATTTCATTCATTCCGCTTTCCATAGATACAACGTAGTATTTTCGGCGGATATGGTATTTAAAAAAAAGGAAAATGTTGATTGGTTCTAAAACTGCCCCACTGACAAATGTTCTACGGCCTACTTCCTACACTGACCAAATTCCTAACCTCAACTCTAGACCAAACACAATACCTAACCGTAACCCTAAACCCCCTGACTCGACACTAGTGACAGGAACCCAGGACATAAGGGCCCCATACATGTAACTCATAAGGATGTCATCTGTTTGGAGCAAGAAGGAGCCATCAACTAATATCATTTAAGGCGGGACTGCACTACTTGTAGCTACTTGCGCCCTCTATATAGCCAACAATGCCTAAGCGGTACCCGTTGATCACCCATGGTCCCCTTTTTCTTAGGTTAATTGAGAGCTGATTTGATGAGATAACTACCTGCCATTGATCACCCATGGAGGTCTAATGCCTCCTGGCCAAACTAGTGCAGATGGGCTCAAACAAAAGATATACTGATCACCCTTATTTTATCACAGTGACATGCATAAACCGGACATTAGAGCAGATTATTTCACCTGAGAAAAAAACCTAATTGAACCAGAACCCTCATCCTATATCTTTGGCAAAATAAAGGCCGGAGAAAATGTGGGAGAACTGCTTTCTTACCATGGTGACATGCATAAACTGAGGGACTTTAGAGCCGATAGTTTCACCTAAGAAGAGAACCAAATTGAACCAGAACCCTAACCCTGTATCTTTGACAAAATAAAGCCCAGGGCCCCGTCTTACAAAGAGTTGATATCAATCGCAACTATGTTCATAAGAGATAGGAGACTGCAAACTTGCGATTCATTGGAGGACTTACGATTGATTTAGATGAATCGCAACTCTTCGTAAGACAGGGCCCAGGGCATAAATCAGAACTGTTATCTTACCATGGTAACAGGCATGAATTGGAGGACATTGGTGCTGATGGTTTCCCCGCAGTAGAGAACCTCCTGCACGAAGGAGAGGATGAACTCTGTTCTTGGGTTGATGATGCCCGATGCCAAGATGGATGCAAAGAGTCTGAATGCAGAGACTACAATGAGAAAAAAGAAAGAGGGGTGTATTCGGTAATTGGTCATGGCAAAATGCACTTATTCGTAACTGCATGTAGCTATAATGTCATCATAACTACTTTCATCATATTCATCACCATCATCCTCGTCACCTATCATGAACACCATCATCATCATCAATATCACCATCATCACCATCACCATCATGACCATCATTATCATCATCAATATCACCATTACCATCGCCATCTTCATCATCTCAACAATCACCATCATCATCATCACCTATCATGAACACCATCATCGTCAATATCACCATCATCATCATCATCACCATCATCATCATCATCATCATCATCATCATCATCAATATCACCATCACCATCGACATCAACATATTCATTATTAATATCACCAACATCAATAACATCATCGTCATCATCATCAAACCGTCTGTTCAGAGCCAGAAGAGCATTCACTCTGTGTTAACGTTTATATGAGTTAACTCCCTTCTGGCGCTGAACAGATGAAATATTCATTATATCCTTACTATCATCATCCTCATTATCATCACGACACCCACCATCTTCGCTTCTGCTAATCTACAAATTTCTACTTACCAAGAGCAACATGAAGTGGTTCTACATACTGCTGCTGTGCCTGCATCACCAGGAAGCTGCTGTTTGCTGTACTCACATTCACACTACCAGCTTATGAAAGAAGGAATAAAACAAAAATAAAATCGATCTTCATGTTGGCTTTTCAGGTAACATTCAGAACTTGCAGTATTAATGCTATTCAAGAGCTAGCACCTGCAAATGGTTATGAATAATTAAAGATAAATTTGGGTTTGGGGCCATGTTTCATGAAAACTTGTTACGATAGCTGTTACAAGCTTTTGATAACAAGGCATTTAATTGGCTGAGAACAAATTTGTCATAGAAATTTAGCATTTGTTATTGATAACAAATTTTATGCAACGGCCCCTGGTCATGTGATTACATTGTGAAAGAAACTGTGAAAAGCCCTTGGGAAAGGTTGATAATGTATCACATATACAAATTAGTGTATACGTTCATGTTTTGGAATAATACAAAAAATAACACAAAATTAAATAATCTGCTGGTATTCCCTAGCTCTGCGCACATAAATGGGTAAGAGGGATGACACACACATGCACCGTGAAAGTATTTCTGGCCATATTTTGAATATGAGATTATTTGAAAGAGCAATCCTTTCCAGCAGGCATTACTATTTTGATAATCTTCTAAACTAACATAACAAGAATGAGAAAGCTTACACCTATTTTCAACCTTAACCAGAACCAAACCTTCTTCTTAACTACCAGTATGTAAATGATAATTTTAATAATGAAAATACATGTATAATTCCTTCATTTTGTGATATGAAAGAAAAAGGGGAATGAAAATAAAATTGCATGAGGTGTGTGTTGATCAGGATCAGTCATTTATCAGCAAAGAAGATTCCTCAGACAGCGATTCTGATAGACTTGGTCATCATATCAACAACAACCCAAATATGGTCATCACTTAGCCTTCCTATGGTGATGCATACTGGTATCAAGATAAAGTTTTTATGCCTCGGATGGTTCTTTACATATTTCACAAAGTATATACATGATAGACACACAAAAGATATCACGGTATAAGAGAAATATCTTTTATACACTGTAATAGAAAAATAAAAGTTCAGCACTTGCTCTCAGAGAGTAAGGCTTTGGGTGACCTTATAATATCATATCACAACATCTTTCTGTAATACAGTGCGTCCCAGAAAAAACGAAACCGAGAACTATCGATGTTTTATCATACCTTAGTCACATTTATAGTTAATAAATGACACATATTTGGAAAGCTTAGATCTTCCTCTTTCATTTGATGCAACTCACATGATGCATATTTCACGCATGAGTGATTACAGTCAGTTTGAAGAGAGAAAACCAAAAAGTCGTTTGGCGGACGGTATCTGAATTTCAAAGAGAAAATTACATTTCTAGAAAGTTGAGTTTCTGCTCTTTCATATGACACCTCAATCAGGAAAAATGAGCAAGGAATGACAAAGTTCTGTTTGTTTAAAATAGTGCTTGCATTTCCATAATTTTATCAAACAAATTCGTTTTCACTGGCTGCCTGCCGTAGCAAATAGCAGAATTGACAAAAGACTTTACTCCGTTTCGTAGACAATCTTCCATGCATGAAGTCTTTTGTCTACGGCTGATTGTTAACGAAACGGAGATAAGTCTTTTGTTAATTCCGTTGTTGATACGGCAGGAAGCCAGTGAAAACGAATTCGTTTAATAAAATTATGGAAATGCAAGCACTAATTTAAACAAACAGAACTTTGTTATTCCTGGCTCATTTTTCTTGATTGAGGTATCATATGAAAGAGCAGAAAATGAACTTTCTAGAAATATGAATTTTTCTTTGAAATTCAGATACCGCCCGCCAAATTACTTTTTGATTTCCTTCCTTCAAATTGCTTTTAATCACTCATGCGTGAAATATGCATCACGTGAGTAGCATCAACTGAAAGAAGAGACTCTAAGCTTTCCAAATATGTATCATTCATTAATTATGGTTGTGATTAAGTTATGATAAAACATCGATACTTCTCGGTTTCGTTTTTTCTGGGACGCACTGTATAATGGTTGCTACAAAATGTATGTCAAGCATGTCCCTACATTATCATTTACGAAGGCGTGGTGGTAGAGCAGTGGTCTTGTAACCAGGAGATCCGAGGTGTGAAACCTAGCCGATGCGCTGGTGCCACTTGGTAAGGCATTAATCCTCATCACTAAGTCCCTCTGTGAGGACTTAAAGCCATCAGTCCCCTGGTTGATTATTTACAAGTACACACATGCTTTCTCAACAGTCAGGTAAAACAAACAAACCAACCAACCAACATTATCTTAAAAGAATGGTAGCGATGTGATATTTATTTGATGTAACCGAGATGCTTATTGTGAGGTTATCATCCTTACCTGGGAGGGGAGTGGAGGCCCCTTCCTCTTCTGCAGTACTGAGCAGCTTCCTCAGCTTAGAGGGACGGTTCTCCTCTCTTAGACTTATAGCCTCCTATGAGATGGAGATGAGAAGAGATCAAGAATGGGAGAGAAGGAATGAGAGAGAGAGAGAGAGAGAGGGGGGAGAGAGAGAGGGGGAGAGAGAGAGAGAGAGAGGGGGAGAGAGAGAGAGAGGGGGGAGAGAGAGAGAGAGAGGGGGGGGGGGGGAGAGAGAGGGGAGGGGGGAGAGGGGGGAGAGTGAAGAGAGCACAAGAAAGAAAATAGGTAGATAGAGCAAGAGGAAGAGAGGGAAAAGAAAAGAGAGAGATACAGAGTGAAAGAGAAATAAAAAGATAGAGCAAAAGGGAACAAAATATAAAGAAGAGAGGGAGGGGAAGAGAAAGAATGATAGAGAGAGAGAGAGAGAGAGCAAAAGAGAGAATAAGAAAGAAATAGAGAGATAGTGTAAGAGAAAACATAATATAAAGAGTAAGGGAGAGGAAGAGGAAAAGAAATAATGATTGAGAAAGTGAAAGAGCATGCGACAGAAAAATAGAGAGATAGAGCAAAAGGGAACAAAATATAATGAGGAAGAGAGGGAGAGAAATAGGGGGGTGAGAGAGATAGAGAGATGGGGAGTATGAGAAAAACAGAGAAACATATAGAGAGAGATAGAGAAAGAGAGGGATATGAGAGAGAATGGATAATAACACAATAAATGACATGAAGCAAAAACAAAGCAAAAAATAAAAATGAAATAAAGAAATAAGAATCTTCTATTCTGACAAAAACATTCTTTTTTAATCATATTATTCTATGTAATTAATCACAAAAGGGTGTTTTTTTTCTTCATTCAAATAATGGAAATATCATTCCTTCATTACGTGATGCAACAAAAAAGTGGAATGAAAATAAGATTGCATGAGGTTTGTGTTGATCAGGATCAGTCAGTTATCAGCAGAGAAAAAAATCCTCAGACAGCGATTCTGAAAAACTTAAAATCATCATGTCAACAACAACCAAATTACAGTAATCACTTAGCTTTTCTATGATGATGCATACTGGTATCAAGTTTGAAATCAAAGGATTTGAAATATCCTTTTACCAACTTCATGGTTAATATCATCTCTCGTACATTTTTTAGGGAAGGCAAGATCAGAATGGAATAATAAACTTTAGTTGAAGAAGAATTAGAAAGGTTACCTCTCTTTCAGTGTCTCCTCTTCCTCTCTTGCGCCCTCTTACGATTCTGGATGGACTTTCCTTGGACTTGGAATCTGCGTTGTTCAAAAGTGAAAAAATAAAAGAAAATGCAGGGTAAGAACCTTGACCACGGGATAGAGAAAGGATTGAAAAAGACAGTGAGGGAGAGAGAGACAGAAAGAAAGAGAGAGAGAGAGAGGGGGAGACAAGGAAGAGCGATATAAAAGAGAGATGGTGAAAAGGATAGAATATGACAGAAAGAACATGTTATAGGGAAAGTCGTGAAAGAGACAGCAAGAGGGGAGAGAGAGAAAGAGAGAGAGAGAGAAAGAGAGAGAGAGAGAGGAGGGGGGGGGGGGAATACAAGGAGGAGCAAGATAAAAGAGAGAGAGAGAGAATGAGACAGAGAATAAGACAGAAAGGAAGACAAACAAAAAAACAGGTAAACTCTATGGCCCGAATTCACAAAGGAGGTTTGTCGACAAACCTTGGTTTTCGTACGTCATGTGACGCGTTTTACGCATTTTTTTACAAACCTGGTTTGTAAAGAACAAAAGGAGGTTTGGCGAAACAAAAGGAGGTTTGAGCTCAAACCTTGGTCTGAGCTCAAACCTTGCTTTGTGAATTCGGGCCTTTGCATTTAACTCTGCAATGGAGATTTTAGTTTCAAGCGGTATGGCCTCAAGTGTAAAAATGTCCTTAGGTGGTCCATAAACGACCAAATTGGTCTTACCTCTGAAGCTGTTTTGACTGGTCAGGGTTGCTGCTATACACCAGACCACCAGCTTGGCCAGAGCCTTGCCACGGGGGTTGGACAAGCGGTCGATGTTGGACAGGTCAGCCAGGAGACGAGGAATGACCCGTCGCAGAAGGGTCAGGGTCATCTGCTCAATGTCCACCTGGAAGAGGGCCACAGCAATCTCAACTGTTTGCAACAGAAAGTAAAGAAAAATTGCGGCTTGACTAATCAAATTATAGAGAGAGTGGAGTCCTTTTAAAAAAAGAAAAATAATTTATGAGTTTTATAATCCTTGTGATTCTCATGTGAAAAAATAGCAATGTCAAATGAAAGGCAATGCTAAATGCTCTAACATTTCAAACACAACTAGATAAAACTTTGAACAAATTTCTTTATCCATATATAATTTTGAATATTCCAAAGCCTTATATGATGTATAATCATTTCTTCCTATACAATCACCCCTTCATGAATGCTTCTTGACACTTGATAAAGGAGCATGAAAATAGGATTACATGAGGTTTGTGTTGATCAGGATTAGTCAGTTATCAGCAGAGAAAAATCCTCTGACCAGCGATTCTGAAAAACTAAAATCATCATGTCAACAACAACCAAATTACAGTAATCGCTTAGCTTTCCAATGACGATGAATACTGGTATCTAGTTTGAATTCAAAGGATTTGAAATACCTTTTGGCAATGATTTTCAATTCCTCCTACACAATCACCTATTCATGAATGCTTCTTGACACTCGATATCAAAATGCAATTCCACTAACACAAGTCAACATAACTTCTTAAGGATATTCAAAAACCTCTGATCATGCCAAAATACACCAATTTGGTTCCTTTATCTCTAGATCACACCTGTATATTACACAAACCTTCACTTCTACATCTACAGGTATTACTGTTCTAAAAGGTATATAAGATTCTGTAAACGCTGTTATTTCCTTCCGAGTGATCAGTTTTTTCACACTGAGCAACCACAAAACATATTCGGGGGTCCTTAAATTCCTGTTGCACGCAATCCAGGACGTTCAAAACAAACAAAAGAAGTCATGCTTATATTTTTGCGAGTTCTAAAATTCGCACTTGCCGATCCTAGTGCGCAACCTGCAAAAATTAATGTACCGCAAATATTTCTGCATTTACAGTATTGCAAAGAGAGCACATTTTTAAACATGTACAAACATAGTGTGTATAAAAAAAAGCCGATCAAACGGTCAAACCATCTCAACAAAATTGTTGCTCTCATAAAAAATATTAAATATATATATATATATATATATATATGTATACATATTACCTGCGGTTGTAAGGTCATCCTTCCTATGAAGAGAGGTCAGCTCCAAGACGATGCTCCGACAGAACCATAGAGCACCCCCACTGGTCAGCAGAGCATCCATGGTGGTCAAGCTCTTCTTGTCGACCACGCCCCTCTGGACGATGGCCCTGAAGGTTCCTGTGAGGGTCTCGAGAGAGGCCGTGTTCGGCTCAGGGGGAAGGGTGGGGCCAGGTGCAACGACGGAGGCGGGTTCCCTGTGGATCTTGGAGTCGCTGCCTAGCACTGAGGTGGACATCTTCTTCACAATCGTTGTCATGAGGCTATTCCTGGAAAAAAAAGATTAAGGTATAATTTGAAATCTTTGAACTGAACTCTTTAAATGATAAATCTACAAACTGAAAATAGCTTTTAATTTCAAGATCCCAGATGACATACTGTATTGAGATTAAAGACTTTACCTAAAATCAGTCTTCCATCTGACATACAGAATATGGCTCATATTTAATGTTCTAATCCACAAAAAGTTAAAGACAAAGTTGAGTTCTGGGCCCCGTTGCACAAAACTTACCATTGATGGTAACTTTGCCATCAATGGTAACTACCATGGAAACCTTGATTTTGATTGGCTGTTGAGCCCTGTTACCATGGTAGTTGCCATTGATGGCAAAGTTACCATCAATGGTAAGTTTTATGCAACGGGCCCCTGGTCATGCGATTGCATTGTGAAAGAAAGCCTATAAGTATTGGTATGTACTGCAAGTGCAAATGATAAGAAATTTGGCCCAGTCTTGGTAAAAGTAACAAGTACTGTACACAGAAAGATGTATACGGGACTACACAAACATGTGGCATAAAAATGAGGCTCACATTTTTAAGCTGTTACATGTCATATTTATAATATGAAGTCTTTTGAAGAGCTTTTTTCTATGATGTTCTTCCACAATTGCATAATAACAATGAAATCGCTCACAAATTATTGTTTTTCTCTCCCCAGAACTCAAGTTTCTCTTTAAGTATTTCTGGCACAAAAAATGGCCCATTTTTTTTAGAGTAGGCAGCTTATGATGTGATGCTACAGCTCCTCAATTAGAGATTGTATTTTGCTAATAGAGGGTTAACCTCTGGGCTTTCTGAGAGCAATTTTTGACTGGGAAGGGGATCAATTTGACCATGCACCCCCTCCCCCTAAAGATCTTGGCCATGGAAGTCCAATCGACGTGAAATTTTGCACGGGTGTTGACACGCATGTAAAGAGTACCGCTGCATACCTTTTTAAAAGAAAAGTAGGGGTAAATGCACATTGTATTTTATTTACCAATGTCTTTCTATCCTGAACATATAGTAGCTCAGTCAGATTTGGGTTATAGTAAACTAGCTGATCATTTGCCTTATTGTTTTGACATACTGGATAAAGTCTGTTGATCAGAACTGTTGGTTTGTCCTCAGAAATTGCTTTCAGACAGCGATTCTGAATAGGATCATCGTTTCAGCAGAAATTGTCTCAAGATTGGCATCTCATAGACAATTAAAATAAATGGACAGTCAAGATCTGCAGCCATTTGTACAGGGAGGGCGGGGGGGGGGGGGGGGGGGGGGGGGGGCTAAGTGGTGTAAAGTACCTGCATGTCCTGCCATGCTCTTGCTTTATCTCCCATGCTACCTAAGAGCAAAGTTGTCTTATAAACTCTCATTTGCCTTCTTTACGAGTTAATAAATGGGGTTTTGGAATAATGCACACAATATTTGCAGTTTTGGAACTCCAGGGGAGAGTTTCACAAAGACTAAGATCAATTTTAAGTTGGACTTAACTATGGCAGGTCGTTCATGCCACTATTTTCTCTCATCATTTACTGGCATTGGTTTCTCAACAATCGTGGTCACAAATCTACAGAATTAACATTTTTTTATAGTTCATTATTGAAGAAGAAAAAAATTACCTAAAGATCACAATAGAGAGACCGATGGTGAGAGCAACCAGTGGCATAAATGGCCTGCCATAGTTAAGTTCAACTTTAAGTCGATCTTCGTCTTTGTGAAACACTCCTATTGACAATCAGCAATGGAACGTACATTGACTGAAGTGTCCATGCACAGGTATCCTTATAACCTACATTGCGTCACAATCATAGGAATCGATACCCCACATAACATACCTCTCAGTGTCATACATCTGCAGGGAGGTGGCGCTATTCGCTACCGATGTCATCATCATCTGCAGCAGCCTGTGAGCCTTGCTGCGCTCATTGGTCGACAGGGAGGTCATGTGACTACACAGCCACGCCACGCAGCAGATCGGCAGACAGCAAACACGCCCCTTCAAATTATCAACCAGTTTCTGTGAAATTGATGAAGAGATGTTTGATTATGAACTGTCTCCTTCTGTTTGAATTGACAACATTTTTTTTAAATACTTTAACAAAGTGTGTAACAAATATGTGAAACAGAATACAAAACAAAAATGATTGAAACTTTATGCTGTAAAAGCACATGGCAGATGAATTGAAAGTCCTACTATGAAACTCAAGGCAAAGCTCCTTAAAACGGCTTGCATTGCAAGCTATCACCAATCGAAACCTAATAACTTATTTGAAACGTACGGATCAAGAGGCTTTGTGCAATATTTAAAGAAAATGAAAATGAAAAAGTTTTATTCTTCCACTCTCAATATAATTATTGCATGAAACTAATCTCTCCTGTCATCAATAACTAAGAAAACGAAAGTTTACAAAATTTTCTGTACAGAGCTAATTGGAGAGAAGCTTGCAAGATACGTCACAATGTTGCCAATTTTTGTTTCACTGATGACAATGTCAATAATTCATAACTTTCCTATTTTTAGTCGCTGCTCAAAATTTCACTTAACAGTTTCTCTCATTTTTCAGCTTTTATCAAAACCAACTGAATATCAGGGTGGACTTCCCTTTAATACTTGCAGAATGTGCCTCCTACAAAGCCACTGGTAAATAAAAAAAAAACAACTAGAATACTCACCGAGACATGTTCTTCACTGACGGCGCCATATTCCCAGGCATGTAAGAGATGTTGAATAGCATATGGGATGGCCAAACATACCTCACTCCAACGTACTTGACTGTAGAGAGAGAAAGCACAACAATTTATTCACTATCTTACCCAAGAGGCATGTGTTGAATAAGTTCAAGAGCCCTCTATGTAGGAAACAATGCCTAAGCGGTACCCGTTGATCCCCTATAGTCCCCTTTTTCTTTTGTTAATTGAGAGCTGATTTGATGAGATAACCACCTGCCAGTGACCACGCAGGGAGGTCTAATCCCTCCTGGCCAATCCTGATAGGCTTTAAAATGTATCTTCGGTAGCCTCCTGTAAAAATCTTCCCATTTTTAATAGCAAGTTGGGCACTGATGAATCAAGAACTATTAAACATTCATTTGCCTTTTTAAAACATATTGTTTAGACATGCTGGATAAAGTCTGTTGATCAGAACTATTGGTTTGTCCTCAGAAATTGCTTTCAGACAGCGATTCTGAATGGGATCATCATTTCAACAGAAAAAGTCTTTAAGATTGGCATCTCAAGTATCTCATAGACCATTTACATAAAAGGGCAAGTCGAGATCTGCAGCAGTTTGACAAAATTATCTGAACCACAGACATAAAGACATCTTGGATGTGTCATAAAACTCATTCTAATTCCTAGTATTCTAAACATCCTGATGAACTTGATAACATCTAAAATTGCCACATTCGCTGTATTGAAAACCTTACTAGTGTCATACTATTTGAGAAGCTAATTTGATTTGATTTTTTTTTCCTGCATGGTCATTGTCCAAAGTTACAAACTAATTGCAACATAATCATGATAATAGACAAATTATATAACGTATACATGATCAACATAAAATACTTACATTGTAATACATAAACAAAATAATCATGAAGAAGAATTGCCACATAAGCTAAGCTTGAAGGCGTGGCAATCCTTTATTAAACTATTGATCATTCAGACATATTTATTATAATACTGTCTGAACACTGACAAGAGTTCCTTATAGCGCTGAAAACAATCTTAAAGTGTTACTTACGCCGTTTTGAACTCCATACCAGTATGATACTGGTTGAGTAGCATATCAATCTTATTCGGATCAGCTGCAGTCATGCCACTCAATGGTTTGGTACTGGTATCATCAGGCATACAGTGATGGACCCACGTCTCAAAGAAAGAATCACCGCTACTTGATACAACCATCTGAAACGATGCCACATAGAGGAAATTATTGAAGACGTTAGGTCAAATCCTTGTCCAATATGATGGTAAGGCTTTGTATAAATATCATCATGGTCATCAGACAGAAGACTTTAAGAAAGTTACTTCTAATCAGAATTTAAATATTATACAAATAATATACAGCAGTGAGGCCATTAGTAAGAATTACCCGCTCAAAGCGAAAGGGTTAAAAGAGTAATCTTGGACACAAGTCCATTCTATACAACATTAAGCCTTAAGAATCCTGAAAAAGTAATGTAACAGGGCCTAACATCATGCAAACACCTTAAAACTGGCATAATCATAGGAACCTGCAGTGAAATGATGTTCCCAAATGACAGCTGACCAATGTAAACTGCAGTAATATTCAAAGTATCAAGAACCCACTAAATACTTAATTTTCCCATTCCCTTAAGGATAAAGTTGAGTTCTGGTCAAGCGATTGCATTGGGAAAGAAGTGGTGTTGAATCGATCAGAAAAGGTTGATCACGTAGCATATTAGTATTGGTGTGTACTGCAATGTTCATCAAAATGATGAGAAATTTGGCCCAGTCGTGGTAGAGTAACAAACACTGTACATAGTAAGATGTATATGGGACTACAAAAATATGTGGCATAAAATCAGGCCTCATTTATCAGCTGTTTCTTGTCATATTTACTCTGATGTTCTTCCGTACTTGCATAATCACAATGATAACGCTCACAAATTATTTTTCACCTCTCCCCAGAACTCAACCTTCTCTTTAAGCTTAAAGGTAAGGACCAGTTATGGTCATGCAATTGCATTGTGAAAGAAACGTTGTGGAATCGATCAGAAAAGGTTGATCATCTAGCACCTAGCATCTGCAAGGTTCTGGAATCATCAAAATGATAAGAAATTCGGCCCATTCTTCGTAAAGTTACAAGCACTATACACAGAAAGATGTATATGGGACTACCCTATATCTCTCACAGAACATGAGAGAAACAAATTTACCAAATATATGAATTAGTAGGTGGTTTCCCGGCAAATTTTTTATCATCATGTATTAGTCAAAACATATTCTTTCACATGATTGGTAATGAGAGCTTTCATTTCATTTTTTGAAATTGGGGCGTTTCCAATACTGGTCTTTACCTTTAAGCTTAATCTTAGATGCATCTCATTCTCATTCATTCATTTCATGGGTCAACCCATTGCCTACTGAAACTGCTTGGGCCCTGTATTAAGCCTATGGCAATGAGAGAATTCAAAAGTCAACGCGTTAAAGAATAAAGACTTACCTCAGTTCCATAGAGCTGAGCAATTCGACACAGCATGAGGAATGTGAGATCAAAGATGACGGCTCTGACTTGAGATGCCTTAGCATTCTCGGCGCTCGACTGCTTCACTATCTCGTTGATTCTAAGGCAATAGATAAAGAGTAGAAAGTTATTGCCGGGAAGTCTCTGATTTCATGGCTTCCTGGTTGATTCTAGGAGGCTTAGTTTTGTCGACAACATATTACAGTTATCATTGGTTATTCCACTACTGCTTATTTATCTTTTTATCAAACATGGATTGGAAAAGATCTGACTTGAGATGCCTTAGCATTCTCTGCTATCTCGTTGATTCTAAGGTAATAAATTATAAACTAGATGGAACTTCGACTGCGCGCAGTCGAAAATGATGCCTCCGTCATAGAGCAATTTTTCAAATTCAAGTTCAATTGTAATCCATTAACAGGTTCTCAGTATATCGTGATTACAAGCAATTTCTCATATACATATATGACCCTTTGATCTTTGACCTCATGAACCTAAAATCTACTCAGTTCATTGGCTCTGCAAGTTGTCCTGAGTTAAATAGTAATCCATGTGTCAGTTCTAATGAGAATGCGTTCACAAGCTATTTTTGCATACATAATGAGCCCATGACCTTTGACCTTTGACCTCATGACCCAAGAATCTACTCAGTTCAATGGCTCTACAGGATACATACATGTACATTATCTAAGTTTGGCAGGAATCCATCAATCGGTTCTTGAGATAACGCGATCACGAGCTGTTTTTGCATACATAATAAGCCCTGTGACCTTTGCCCTTTGACTTCGTGACCCCAAAATCGAATCAGTTCATCGGCTTTGCAAGATACATAAATGACCAAAGTTTGGCAGGAATCCATCAATCGGTTCTTCAGATAACGCGATCACGACCTGTTTTTGCATACATAATGAGCCCTGTGACCTTTGACCTCGTGACCCCAAAATCCAATCAGTTCATTGGCTCTGCAAGATACATACATGATCAAAGTTTGGCAGGAATCCATCAATCGGTTCTTCAGATAACGCGATCACGACCTGTTTTTGCATACATAATGAGCCCTGTGACCTTTGACCTTTGACCTCGTGACCCCAAAATCCAATCAGTTCATTGGCTCTGCAAGATACATACATGATCAAAGTTTGGCAGGAATCCATCAATCGGTTCTTCAGATAACGCGATCACGAGAACGGGACGTACGGACGGACGGACAACCTGAAAACATAATGCCTCCGGGTACCTCGTAACGGAGGCATAAAAATCAGCACTTATCATAGTATTCAGTAGAAAACTAATGTCCGAAAGTCTCAGATAAGATTGCATGGTTTTCTGGTTGAGTTTAAGAGAACTGATTTAGTCAACATCATATTACAGTTATCATTGTGAATCTGCTACTGCATATTTACAAAACAAATTAAGATCTTTGTTATTTATTGAATGAATGATTAAATCAAATTTTCTTCTGTAAAACCTACATCAGTCAGCTTTTGACAAAGTCTGTGATTATATTTAATCAATGCAGAATTCACACATCGTAATCCAAATAAATTTGTATGAGACAAAGGAAATAATTATGTAAATTCACTCCCTTTTGTGTAATCGTGGTGCTGTCGTCCTGACTTTTATTTTGTGTAAGGACGGCGCTTCACGTAATGGCTGCTGGAACAGCACTACTATGCTGGGAAACAAATTATTAAGGGCGTTATAATGTGAACCATTGTTATCATTATTATACTGTAATGTAAGTAATGAATGTACGTTGGTAGACTTGCACATTTATGCTAAAAAAAAATTAATAAGATCATATATTGTCGTAGCAAATCGGATTTAAAGGCAATGAACAATAGAGAATATGTTTCTTACTTGATGAGTTTCGCAGAGAACTTTGGAAGTTTACTTCTGGCTGCAGCAGCTGCTACCATGTAATCAAAGCTCTTTCCTGCTTTCATATGACCTAGCAGAACCAACATTTCATCTTGATTCTTCACATCAGCCTGAGAAAATACAAAACAATATTGATTGTTAGGAGGCGGAAGGAAAGTAGCGAGAAATATATGCAAAACATAAAAGCTCTTTCCTGCTTTCATATGTCCCAGGTACATGTAGGACAATGTGGTAATACCCTTTGGTGAGCAATTGATACTCAATGACCAATTCCCTTGGTAATTGAGTCATAAGTCTCTTACCGTATTTGCCGGCGTAAAGGCCGCACCGCCGTATAGGCCGCACCCCCAACTTTGACATTTCGTAGAGGAAAAAAAAAAAAAAAAAAAAAAAAAAAAAAACTAAAAAAAAAAAAAAAAAAAGAGAAAAAAAAAAACGGACCAAACAAAAAGATCATAATTTTCTTGTAAAACACTCTTTTTTTTTTTTTACAAACTATACCAATTCATCAATATTCTTATAAATCAACAAGAAGTTAACCTCAAAAATGATCATAATTTAGCAGATCTTCATCGACTTTTAAGCTAGTACTGTATCGTACGCAGATTTGGTATCCTACAATACCCCTTCCTCGATGTGCGGTGTAATCCGAAATAGCATTTTTCGACCTGCGCAGTTGCGTTGCGCGGCAGCTAGCTCCGTAAGTAACGGCCTGTCCCTTTGTTTACTTTTTGGCGATGCAGTGGTACGGACTTAGATCTAGATCTATCGGCAGATTTTTTTAGAAAAATAAGTTTTTTCGTCTTCATGTCAACTATGCAACATAAAAATGTCGGTAAGTTGTGTGGAGTTATTCTAGAATTGTCCTGTACCGCTGTCTAGTCATGCTACCGTTCCTATAGTCCCATACGTGCAAATGGACGTGATGTTTTGACCGCTGAATTTTGTTGTTGTTGCGTATACGCCGCACCCCGACTTTTTGATTTTTTCTCACCCGAAAATACTGCGGCCTTTACGCCGGAAAATACGGTAATTGCTTATTCTTCTAAGACATATTACTTGCTCTCTTAAAAGACACAAAAGGTAAATTCATAAATTAAACTCCCCTTCTAACGATTGGTTATGCATGACACAGTGAAATCAATCATATCCACAAATGATTTTGAGGAGATAGCGTTTGAAATGCTTTGATACCAACCAACATGAACAAATGTTGGAAGGCTGGTAATTAATGTCTTGCCATAGTTTGGTGTAAACCTGTTTTCTGGTTGCTACATTTGCATACTGTATATTAAAGCTGATATTTTCGTGAATGACAGGCTAAGAGACGTTTATGCGAGTAGTTGCTTTCGCGAAAAGCACACGTCAGAATTAATGAATGGGCATGACGTATTCACAAACTTTCTCACGCCAAGACATACACACACAGGTAAAGTACACGTACGTACACACACAAGTTTGAGCAGCCCATCGCACCACATACAGCCGAGTACCGTACCGACATAGAGTGAGAAGGCTGATTGATTTTAAGACAGGGGTGCGGGCGTAATGCATGGTGATTAAAATACCAAGTATGTATTCCATTCATTGACAAGAGTTACAAAAGAGTAAGAGACTTTTGAAAAATGAGAACTTTCCCACTTGTTGTCGCGGAAAGGTAAATCACAGAGTGATTGTTGCAAGCGGTACAAATGCAACCACTGCTACACATTAAGCTGTGTATAGCATGCTTAGTGAGTGTGGGCATGTACATGTACAGTAGAAGTGGCAGTGGCCAGGTAAATTGCACTGGCGAACGAGGGGATGCTAGCACATAATTTTATGCTGATATTTTCCCACTCTGGAATGATGAGGTGGCAATATTTTCATGTGTTGTTAAATTCGCATATTCACAAAAAATAAAACCCTCAGAAAAATAACAGCTTATACAGTACATTCCTTTACTCAAATTCAAGTTTTCGATTAATTGTCATTAACTGACAGAAGAGTGAAAGGACGAACTTAGATTCCCCAGATTTCCTGACTATTGACTCTGGGAACAAAAAGTTTTAATTTCCTGCTCCCCCAACCCTTCATAAAATCTATTGACCACTTTACCTTAATAAAATTGACGAGAGGCTCCGCCCTAGTAACCATGACTACAAGGGAGACGGGTTGCTGGGTGTCAGTGGGTCTTGTGAGTTTACTTGTGGTGGATCTAGAGAAAAGATACATGTACATAGATCAAGCAGAAGTCAAAATAATGAAAAGGAATAATAATTCCATTTACATGTATATAGCGCAAATCCTAAATGAATATACTATACTGCACTCAGTACAAAGTATCATATTATTAACCTGGCTGTAGCTGAGCTGCCATAATAAGGCACTAAAGCATTCAAGCGATTCCTTCCTGCTGAGTCCCAATTTACATCACCTGGGCGGAGAGTGGCAAATATAGATTAATGTCTTGCCAAAGGAGAGGCGCCGTGGTCGAGTGGATATGTCACCGGACTGCATAAGAACAGAATATTATTCTTAATATTATTTATTATTGGTGCCGCGGCGGGACTCGAACCGCAAACAATGCGATCCAAAGTCCAAACATGATGGATATTCGGAGACACACGTACGATTGTGGGAGTTTTTGTTCCATTACTACACTGGGAATGGGTGACTATGTCTTTCTTTTCTGTTTCGGATTTAAATGCACATCCCTGTACAGAGTAACTTTAATATTCAGAGTTGGGTTATAGTAATCTGGCTATTGTTTGCCTATAAAACATATAATTTAGACATACTGGATAAAGTCTGTTGATCAGAACTATAGGTTTGTCATCAGAAATTGCTTTCAGACAGCGATTCTGAATGGGATCATCATATCAACAGAAATTGTCTTAAGATTGGAATCTCATGGACTAATTACATACTCACTCATACCAAAACTCAACAAATCGACTTTGACAGACCCGGATTTGAAAACAAGTCAGGCCTTTAGGATGGTGACATTAAAGGTTGGTCTCTAGACACAAATAAGCACATCTGATTCATACAATCTTTACAAAATCCAACCATACACAAATACTATCATTGAACTTTCCACTCATCACCGTGTGGGTAGATCAGTCAAGAATCATCTGATTTAGTCATTCCTTGCCACACCACTTTAATCATAAAGTCCTGGGCCCCCTTTCATAAAACTTGTCATCAATAACAAGTTACGATAACTGTTATAAGCTACTGAAATCATGGCACTTGATTGGCTGTGAGCAAATTTGCCATTGAAATTTAGCATTTGTTATTGACAACAAGTTTCATGAAACATGGCCCTGGTCACTTTTTATGGAAGACCAACGCCAGCTCACCTTGCAGTAGTGATCTCTTTGACTTGCGTCTCATTGAGTACTCCACAGGCTGCGAGCTGTCCAAGGAGTTGTTTGATGGCATCGCATCGTTGCTTGGTATCCAGAAGGTCCAGGAGAACGTAGAATCGTAGGAGGTAGTGGAGACCTTCAACCAAGGCTTCACAAGACCCAGTGTCATCAGCCATGCTCTGCTGCAGACGCTGGATGATCTGAGGAAGCTGGGGATTAATAATACAAATTAAACTCACTTAAAAACTCTGATAAATGGAAATTCTTGATGGCAACACATTGTTTTTTTAGTATCCACTGGATCTAGGAGAACATAGAATCTTAGGAGACCTTTAACCGAGGCTTCACAAGACCCAGTGTCGTAAGCCACACTCTGCTGGGGACGCTGGATGATCTGACGAAATTGGGGATAGTAAGAGGAAATTAGAACTCTCTAAAATTCTGATAATGGACTTTCTTGATGGCAACACATAGTTGTTTAGTATCAACTCGGTCCAGGAGAACATAGAATCATAGAAGATAGTGGAGACCTTCAACCAAGGCAACACAAGACCTATTGTCATCAGCTACCCTATGCTTAGGAGGTTGGATGATCTGACGTAGTTGGGGATGTTTTCAATTTTTGATTGGAGGATTAGAGCAATATGGTATCCATGATACTCCTCCAAACCCTGGACTAAAAGTTACTTTGGAGAAAAATTCAAATTCATATGTTGGTGTACAACAAAAGGAAGAGTTGACCATCATTACATAACAATGACATCACAAAGGAATGAGAGGGTTGACAATTTGAGATTCATAGTGGTTTAGTGGATTGCGAGATGCCAATCTTACCTTGAGGAAAGTGAATGCTACCCATTTAATCTCCTCTGTTGGATCGCTGTCTTCCACCAGCCCTAGGAAGCTTGCATGGAGCAGCTCACGGTAAATGGCAGAGCGGGGGAGGTTCTGAGAGAGAGAGAGAGGAAGAATGATGAGAATCTGTCAAAATTCACAAACTCTCTCTTGATCATTTACAGTGCAATCCATGTATTACTGATATAGATGATTTGTTAAAAGATGTGTTGCAAAGTTGTCAGCATTTGGGGTAATATGTGGAGCCAAGGACCCCTTTCACACTACTATTAACAGTGTTATGAGAGCACTGGAAGGTCATTTGGGGTAATATTTGGAGTCAAGGACCCTTTTACACTGCTATTTGGGGGTAACTTTCAGATCCTGTTGAAAAGAGCACTGAGGTATTACAGTTTACCTCCTCCGAATAATAATAACAATAATAATTAAATCAATTTATACAGTGCATCTGCTATATTTACTATACTGCACTGTGATGAAAACAAAACTCATAACAGTGGTACTTTACAGATACACAATAAAAAGGCATGTATTCTGCACATTTTGTAACAAATTACTTGCTGACAACTTTCTTTTCAAACCAATTTTTAAAAGAAAAAAACAACATGATAACTTGGCACCTATGCTGTTGATCAGAACTAAAACGTTGTCCTCAGAAATTACTTTCAGACAGCGATTCTGAATAGGATTATCACATCAACAAAATAGTGCAACAATACCAATACAGAAAACGATTATTGTTTGGGGTAATCATAATATTCCTGGATTACTTGTGGAAATTCAATGTGCATTAGAACCAGACAAAGTAAAATTGATCAGTTTTGCAGGGATCTCATAAAAAAGAGGTCCTAGACTCACCTGTAGTCTCTCCATGAGGAGTAGTTGATCTACGAAGAGTTGAATATCACTGGTTAGATTGAGAGCTGCTTCCATGAATGTCATCACATTCACACTACAGCATAATGCCTTCAGCCCAAGCGTGTTCTCACATCGGCTGATTGGTCGTGTGTGAAGGGTCTGCATAGGTATTCTGTATGTACAAAAGGGAATCGGTCATGTTCACACAACAGTACAATACAACTTCCATGAATGTCATCACATTCACACTACAGCATAACGCCTTCAGACCAAGCGTGTTCTCACATCGGCAGATTGGTCGTGTGTGAAGGGTCTGCATGGGTATTCTGTATGAATAAAAGGGAATCGGTCATGTTCACACAACAGTACAATACAACTTCCATGAATGTCATCACATTCACACTACAGCACAATGCCTTCAGACCAAGCGTGTTCTCACATCGGCTGATTGGTCGTGTGTGAAGGGTCTGCATGGGTATTCTGTATGTACAAAAGGGAATCGGTCATGTTCACACAACAGTACAATACAACTTCCATGAATGTCATCACATTCACACTACAGCATAATGCCTTTAGCTCAAGCGTGTTCTCACATCGGCTGATTGGTCGTGTGTGAAGGGTCTGCATGGGTATTCTGTATGAATAAAAGAGAATCGGTCATGTTCAGACAACAGTACAATGCAGTCGGACCGATAAGGATGTTATGTGAATGGTCTGCATGGGTATTCTGCGAGAGAAGTGGATGGATTTGATACAGTACTACAGTTACATTCACACTACAGCATAAGGCTTTCATACTAAAGAGTGTTCTCACACAAGCTAATGGGTCGTGTGTGAAGTGTCAGCATGGGTATTCTCTATAACAAGTGGTCAATCGCATTGGTCAGACATGGTACTAAGGGTACATTCACAGTACAACATAAAACGTTCAGAACAAGCTTGTTCTCACCCCAGCTATTAAATGGATGTAGTGTGAAGGGCTGCTGTATTAAAACATGGACAATTGCACTGTTAAGATGTAATTCGACAATCAAATTCACATCAGATTATAATGCATTGGGGGTGTTCTCACACTAGCACATGTGTCAATTTAAGTGTCAGGCAAATGCAGGAGTATAAAAAATTCTTCTTTGTGTCCCCATGTATATTGTCAATGTATTAGTCATTGATTTACAAATTTTGAAGAAAAAAACCCTGATAACTTGGCATCTATTCTGTTGATCAGAAATGTTAGTTTGTCATCAGAAATTGCTTTCAGACAGCGATTCTGAATAGGATCATCATATCAACAGAAATAGTGACACAAGAAAAATCCCAGTCATACTGCCAAACCAAATAAACAAGGGAAACGCTCTCGGCAGTCTCGCCTGCATTACGCAATTCGATATGATGAAAAATTGAGGTTGAAACATTATTTATATGCAAGATGGCCCATTAGCAGGCCCCCAAAATGAAATCCTCTGAATATAATCAGCATTTTGAAAAGAATATTGACTAAGAATCATCAGAAGAATTATTTACTATTTATTGTACCACGATCGATAACTTTAATAAAACGAAATAAAACTTGAAAAGCGGCGCCTATGTCTTGCTTTTTGCTACGAAGGCAAGACAAAAACCACTACAGAGAACATGTGGTCTATTTATACACTAAAAGTAACCATAAACTGTACAGCTCATACCGTTGTACAAGTGGTTATGTGCCTTTTAGGTATACAGGAAGGGAACAAATTTGATAGAAAATTTGAAGGGCCAATCTATCTCCTACGGCAGTACCTACCGGGCAATGTCGGCAAGGTTGTTTTCTAGTTTCACCTTCAGAGAGTCTGCTTTCACGTCTTTCTTGGTGGAATGCTGAGGTGTTCTGGATAATAGATGCTCTAGGTTACCTATCAAACAGAAGGTTTAAGCTGCTCAATAACAAGTTAACATCAGATACTAGTAGAGTGTTAATTGCTACAGCAGCAAAAGTGTGTACAAATTGGCAGTTTTTTTTTGAAAATTTTTATCACATTGGTTCATTTAATACAATTTCTTTTTGTGTTTTCAAATCATGAGGGTGTGGAAAATAAGATTAATTGTTGCCATTTGGAGGTAGGAAAACTGAGTAAGAAAACGGTACGGACAACCAGAAAACATAATGCCTCCGGCTACTTTGTAGCGGAGGCATAAAAACCCTGATAACTTGGCATCTATTCTGTTGATCAGAACTAAAATGTTGTCCTCAGAAATTACTTTCAGACAGCGATTCTGAATAGGATCATCACATCAACAGAATAGTGCAACAATACCAATACAGAAAACTTGTTCAAATTTCCTTTTGTTTAAACTTTATTTTAGACCAATCTTAAACCCAGCTTTCAATCTTAGTAGAATACGGAGCATAGACTTCAAATTCACTTTTTAACAATATACCCGTACAGTGAAAAACATCTAGATGCTCTTATGCTGACGCCAGGTCTCTCACAAGCCTCTCTGAATTTTTTATCAATTTTGAAGGACTTTGAGCTTTTTAGGAACAAGAGTATTTATCAATCGACTGCACTTTGACTTGTCCAACTGCTGGACAATTTGGATTGAGTTTCAGTAATCAACTGCCCCGGAACATCTGTACCTCACCCTCACTAGAAGCCTTTCAGAAGTACTTGAAGAAGTACTTGAAGAAGTATTTATTGAACTCTTTTTCCCACCTTCATACAATGTAAAGCAGTGTGAAAACAATAGTGTGAGAGCACTCTATAAATGAACATACAGTCAAACCTGCTTTAGTGACCACCTGTCTACAAAGGCCACATTTGTTGTTTCCCTTGAAAATGGTTTCTCGTTGAATCATGTACTATAGGAACCTGTCTACAAAGACCACATTTTGTGTTTCCCTTGGGTGGTTGCTATAGACAGGTTTGACTGTATTATTTTTATTATCATATTATTGAAAACGACCTACTCTGTTGTCTCTGCTGCATGCCGACGGGCTGCGGTCCTGAAACACTGTTTATAAGCGTGGTCAGATCAGTCATAGCTGTCTCAATGCGTGTCCAGAGAGCTGAAGAAAATAAAGATACAGGAATCATTAATAATTGGCAATACACGAGTTATCTCATCTACCGATAGTCATTCCTTGCCACACGACTTCAATCATACTTGTTATCAATACCAAGAATTAAAAATTGTTATAAGCTACTGAAATTCTTACATTTGACTGGTTATGATTAGATTTGTCATAGATCTCTGGCACTTGTTATTGATGACAATTTTTATGAAAAGGGGTCCTGGTACTCAAGCAAGAAGCAATCAATCAATCAACAATGTGAGGCAGAGATACAGATTTAAGATGGTTTCAGTCTTTTCCAGTAACTAACCTGGAGCTAGCTTCATTGCCATTGCGGTTCAAAGAATCTTTAATCAAACAGTGAAATATAAACACTTGTATGAAGCATACAGGAAGTTGACATCTGATTGTGTTGTGTTTTTTATATGCATGTTTTTAGGTTTACCCTTTTCTTCATTTTCCAAACATTTTTGTTTCTTTATGCGATATTATTTTCAATTATCAACAAATTAAAAAGAAAGGTAATTCAAAAGATTGAAAAGATAAGACATGAGGTGTGTGTTGATCAGGATCAGTCAGTTATCAGCAAAGGAAGATTCCTCTGACAGCGATTCTGATATACTGGATCATCATATCAACACGTGGTAGCAAAATACATTACTTACGGTCCTGGTACTCAAGCATTATTACCCCGATATAGCCGAGCAGTAATCATTTACACTCATTTATACTGGGTGGAGAGTGGTAAACGTGGATTAATGACAGTCTTGTTAAACGATTTCAGTGCTGTGCCAGGATTCAACCCCTAAAAATGAAGGGAATGAACCACTGTATCACCACACCTCTACGCTACACACACTATATATAAATTGGTTGCCTGTACTGTTTTTTTTTCCACTTACTGATGGGCTTTATGGGTTCCTTCTCTGGCTCAGCTCCTGCAGCAGGTGTACCGGGAGTAGAGGACGATGTCCCACCTGTGGGGTCTCCTGGCCCTGCTCCAGGCAAAGGTGCCGGTCCAGGTCCAGGTCCCAGTACAGGTCCCATTCCAGGTCCAACTCCAGTTCCAACTCCTGGTCCAACTCCAGGTCCAACTCCAGGTCCAGATCCTGGAGGCCCTCCACCTACCACTCCTGCAGGACCTGCAATTAGAGATCGAATCTATTATTTCCCATTCCTAAGCAAATAATTACCGTCGGTGAAGGTGATGGGACAAACTATCACTTCCGAGGCGATCTGGATGTAGCTTTCTTTCCGAAGTGAAGCTGAGGAAAGATAGCGTATACATTCAGAATGTCAAGGAAGTGATAGTTTGCCATCGCCTGAAACCAAGAGGTGATTATTTGCTTCATATTCCACATCAAAAAACATTTCACTTCTTCCGTCATTTTAGGGCAACAAGTCATCAATTAACAGCTAGCAAACGGTGTAACATATGTACACAGCATGCAGTACTTACGTACGTACGTATATGCAACGTATACAATCTTCAGTGAAAGTGCGTTGCACTGTGTAGATAGTCTTCAGCAAAAGTGTGTTGCACTGTATAGATAGTACTACTTCCAACACGGTGCAACAAACTTTTCTTCTTCCATCAGTGATGGGCGAACTATCTTTCATTACGTGATTTACTTTTGACCAATCGTAGCACAAAATTCTTTGTATGTGAAATATAATAATCAATATCATATGCTCTACACATAAATCTCTTTCCTGTTGATTCCCCTCCGCAATGATAGTTATCTGGCTATTCATTTGCCTTAAAACATATTGTTTAGACATGCTGGATAAAGTCTGTTGATCGGAACTATTGGTTTGTCATCAGAAATTGCTTTCAGACAGCGATTCTGAATAGGATCATCATATCAACAGAAATAGTGGCAAGCTCGGCATCTCATCGACTTATGACATATTCACTCATGAAATTCCCCATTCATTCAAAGAGTCAATGAACCTACGAACTTATGAGCCAATGAATTTATGAACCCACAAACTTATGAACTCATGAATTTATGAACCCACAAACTTATGAATTTATGAACCTATGAAGTTGTGAAATCATGAAGTTATGAACTCATGAATTCATGCCTATGTAGAGCAGGAGCTTGAGGTTGTCCCGGCTGCACATCTTACGCAGGAGAAGTCGTCAACCTTTCGGAAGATGTTCTTGCACTGATTTTACAAGACACGCTTTATGAACATATGAAATTACAAACTTATAAACTCATGAACTCAAGAATTAAGAACTTGTACACTCATGAACTTATGAAGTCATGAAAACTTATAAACTCGTAAACTCATGAACTTATGAAGTTATGAACTCAAGAACTTATGAACTCACAAACTCATAACTTATGACTTTATGAACCCACAAACTTATATGAACTCATGAATTTATGAACCCACAAACATATGAACTAATGAAATTATGAACCCACAAGCTTATGAACTCTGAATTTATGAACCTACAAACTTCTTAACTCATGAACCTAGACCTTATGAACTTTTGAACTCGTAAACTTATGAACTCGTGAAACTAACCTGCTATTGCTGCCGTTGCTGCCTCCAGTTTGGCCAGGCATTCCCCTTCATCCTCCAGCCTCCCTATGTAGAGCAGGAGCTTGAGGTTGTCCCTGCTACACATCTTGCGCAGGAGGTCGCTCATGTAGTCCACGTTGCGTGAGATGGTGATGATGTCGCGCGACTCCACCTGGAGGTGCTCCAGGGACTGGGTGATGGAGGCCAGGAGCCAGTGGACCACCTCCAGGAGCTCCACGCTTAGCTGGAGACCTTCCTCTACCGTACTACGAACCCTGTGTGTAGACAAGACAGAATGTCATCAATGTCCTTTTTAATCTAACACTCTCCATAACAACATCATTATCACTCAGTCTACTTTCCAGCAGTTGTCTGCATCTTTAGGTAATGAAATACTATATATATTGTTTATGCTGTAAATAAGATTGGAAAAGTTCATATTTCACCTCAGTTCTCGGAATTTAATGTTTTGTGCATAATTCAAGCCATATCTCATGCATTTGGTAGAAAGCCTTTATGCGATATTATTTTCAATCATCAACAAATTAAAAAGATAAAGTATTAAAAAGATTGACAAGATAAAACTAAAATTGTATGAGGTCTGTGTTGATCAGGATCAGTCATTTATCAGCAGAGGAAGATTCCTCAGACAGCGATTCTGATAGACTTGGTCATCATATCAACATGTGGTGGCAAAATAGAAGTGTTGTCGTCGAGTGGTTTAAGCACTTGACTTGAAATTCAACGGTCATGGTTCGATCCCCAACACGGCACTAATGTCCTTTGACAAGGCATTAATCTACATTTGCCACTCAATACCCAGGACAGAAATGGGGACCCGGTAGAATGATGAAAGTATTTGTGTTAGTAATTGCCTATGCACTCACAGTGACCATATTATGGTAGGAATACTCCCCAGGGAGTGGAGATGGTGCACATTGTGCATGAATGAATCCGATGACTGGGGTAATGATATCTGTTAAGCGCTTAGAGATGGTATTCCGTATTAAGCGCTATGTAAATCCAGATCATAATTATTATTATTATTTGACATTTGCTCCAGGATTTATTCGGTCGAAGATGTAGGGCTAGTGTTCCTTGATGATCAATGGTTGAAGATGGTGATATGAGTTATGTTAATATGACAAAAATGAATACTGGAGTGTGTGGTTTACACTTAGTACAAGAACATAATTGAAATATATAATTTGGCCTTATCTCCCCAAACTAAAAACCCTTCATCATCAATATAGTTTGGATGCTCACCCTAGCTTGTTCATGCAGAAGATGAAGATCTCTAGAAGACTTCTCATACAGTAAGGTCTCGTGACGGCAGTATCACTGTACTTTGTCATTGCACTCAAGACTCCAGGCAGAGACACAACCTATTAAATAAAAATAATGATAATAAACATTCATTATGCACTTAATAACGGGTTGTTTCTAAGCACACCATTGTCTGTCTACAAATTACCAACCAAAACTTATAATAAACACAAATTATAAATCTGTTCTTTATTCAATAGAGCATGCATATACAATACAAATAAAAATCAATTAAAGCAATCAATCAATAAACCATGGGATGCAAAGATATATAGATTTGTGTGGTACAGTTATATACCTGGGGGGTGTTTCACAAAGATCCTAAGTTGAACTTATCTCTAAGTTGGACTTAAAAATTATGGAAAGCCATTAGCATCCTTGAAAACATTTTGTAAAAGTTATTTTAAAATACATAAAATGTTGATTCAAATCATTCATATTTTCTATTATCATGGGAGATTCTATGTTCTTGATGTGGAATTTATAAAAAGTCTAAAATACTTGAATTTCTGCTTTTGAATATATTTCATTTTAAGACTCCAATGGCTGTCCATAATAAGTCCAACTTAGAGTTAAGTTCTACTTAGGATCTTTGTGAAACACCCCCCTGGAGCTAGCTATATTGCCATTGCGGTTCAAAGAATCTTTGACCAAACAGTGTGATGTATCTACTTGCATCACGAAGCATACATTAAGTTGGCATCTGATTGTGTTTTGTCTTTTATATGCATGTTTTTAGGTTTATACTTTTCTTCATTTTCGAAACATTTTTTTTTTGGTATGGGCTGTTATCTTTAATTATTAACAAATGAAATGATTAAATAATTAAAAAGATTGACAAGATAAAAATAAGACATATAAAGTTCGTGTTGATCAGGATCAGTCATTTATCAGCAGAGAAAAATCCTATGACAGCGATTCTGATAGACTTGGTCATCATTTCAACACGTGGTAGTAAAATATATACAGTGTATTTCTCCTACCGATATAAAATAGAGCAGAAGTCCAGTACTATATTTTTCTTTCAAAGTATATCTTGTTTGAAGGTTACAGATAGTGAGTTAATAATTACCAATTGTATTCTGATTGTTAATTTTTTTTAGAATGTTTCATAATTATGACTTCCCTAGTTTACTCTTCACCTGTTTACTAACAAAACTGACACCCAAGTTGGATGCAATGAGGGAGAGAAAGAGGGAGGAGGGGAGGGGAGGGAGGGAGAGGGGAGGGGGAGGGAGAGGGGGAGGGAGAGGGGAGGGAGGGACTGAGGAGGGAGGGACTGGGGAGAGGAGGGAGGGAGAGGGTGAGAGAGGGGGAGATTGAGAGAGATAAAGAGGGAGAGAGATAAAGAGGGAGAGAGAGAGAGAGAGAGAGGAAGCAGTGATGAAGGGAAAGGGGAGGGGACGCGACGCGAGAAGGAGGGAGACAGGGGAAAGAGACAGACAGACAGACAGAGTGACAGACAGAAGAGGAAGGGAGGGAGGGACTTGGGAGGGGGAGGGGAGGGGGAGGGAGAGAGAGAGAGAGAGAGAAGAAAAATAATTTGCTTACATCTGACATGATGGCATGTTTGAGATATGACAGGATGAGGCTGCTTGGAGAAGGGCCAACAAATGTCTGGGTCAAAAGCATTTCTGTTTACAAAAAGTAAAAGAAGAAGAAATATATATGTGACAGGAGACTTCATAGCATAACATATCCCATGTCTGATATCAATCAGTATGCAATGCTTCATGAAAGAGTGTTAATTAGAATGTATGCTCTAAGTCAATATCTACCTGTGGGCCAGTCTAAAAGGTTCATTTATTTGGCCATTTTGTGCCCCCCCCCCCTCCTCATAAATTGAAAAGAAACAGAAAACAAACACAAAAATAACCTATCCTGTGGAAAGAAATGCAGTCAAGAAACAATTAGTAGCTATGTGAGTGCAGAAAAGCAACACTATATATTTTTCTGTATTGAATTGAATAGTTGAGATGGTTTACAATATATATAACCTGCTTTGGCGACCACCTGTCTATAAAGACCACATTCCTTGTCTTCCTTGAATATAGATTTACATCGATACTTGCATCAAAGGAAGCTGCACTTAAAGATCACCTGCCTATACAGACCGCTTTTCTTGTCTCCCTCGGTTGGTCTTTCTATACAGGTTTTACTGTACTGCCCTGAACTTGCACAAGAAAACAACTTTACCCCTGAATGATGGATGTACAGTGTAGGTGGCAAGGAATAGACTATTATCTTGAAGATAAAGTTGAGTTCTGGTCATGCAATTGCATTGAGAAAGAAACGGTGTGGAATCGATCTGAAAAAGTTGATCATCTAGCCTATAAGTATTGGTGTGTACCGCAAGGTTCTGGAATCATCAAAATGATAAGAAATTTGCCCCAGTCTTGGCAAAGTTACAAGCACTGTAAACAGAAAGATGTTTATGGGACTACACAAACATGTGACATAAAAATAAGTCCCGATTTCTATGCTGTTACATGCCATATTTAGAAGATTAAGGCATTTGAAGAGCCATGCTTTTGTATCTGATGATTTTGTATCTGATGTTCTTTCACACTTGCATAATAACAATGATAACAATGATGGGCTATTATTTTCAATGATCGACAAATGAAATAAATAAATCCTTAAAAAGGTTGAAAAGATTTTAAAAAAGACATTTTTGGATTGTGTTGATCAGGATCGTTCGTTTATCAGCAGAGAAAATTCCTCAGACAGCGATTCTGAAAAACTTGATCATCATGTCAACACGTGGTAGCAAAATATGCAACTTACAGTGCAACTTACATGCCATATTTAGAAGATTTATATTGATAACGCTCACAAATTATTTTTCACCTCTTGCCAGAACTCAACCTTCTCTTAAGTAGCACCCTGTACCTGCTATTTGATTGGCCTCGTCTGCTGATCCTGATACGATGTACTGCTTGATTTTAGTGCTCCATTGGAAGTCTGCCCATCTCTCTCTCCATGCCTTGATGAGCAGAGCTTGGACAGCCTTCACTCTGCTCTCCTCCATGTTCAGTTATGGACCTCGAGCTTATCTGAAATGTATACACAAGTATATCAGAGTAAATCAGACTATATCTGAGCTATTAAGCAAGAGGTTTGTACGTGCTCCTTGCAAACTTTACAGGAGTTGTTAAGCAGTAGAGGCGCTGGTCCGAGAATGAGGATCGTCCGCATAAACTAGGATATCCTCTTAAATGCGTAAGAAAATAACCCCAGTTCACCGTCTACTTTGGGTTGTCCGTGTAACATCAAGAAAATCATTGCGGAATCCGTTTTTTGCATCGCCAACGCGCAGATCAGAAATTTGACATGTCTGCAAAAATGCAGACGATCCGTATTTTTGCGGATGCGTCTGTCTGCTTTTACAGGTGAACAGACATTTTAATAAATAAATACATCCCCCCCCCCAGGCCCCACCTCCTGGCCTGGTGTGAAAGTAGGTCTAGTCTACATGCACTGTGTCCTTTGGACCTTTGCACAGTGAAAATCTCAAAACTGGTAACAGGGCCAAATGTTGAACAAATGAAAGAAGCACAGACATGGTGGCAAAATATTCACTAGCAAAACAGCCAAAATTACAGTTTCATTTGTAACGTTAGTTTTTTTTACATTCATTTTTCTTTTCAACCTCGAATTTTCACCCATGATTTCACCCATGTTGTATACAAAATGAGGGTTTCAGATTAGAAGATTGAAGAGTGCTATCTAATCTAAATCTCAACAACAACATGTTCAATTTTCATTCACTGAGGGCTTGCGAATCCCTGCACACAGTAGTCCAGAATCTGGCCTATTTAATTTTGATCTACACCACACCAACGATACCTCCCCCTACTAATACTTGCTACCAGCCGATGATGGCGTGATCATTAAATTAGGACGCCCGACAAAAAAATAGTCCAGACAAAAACCTAGCGACCTTGTGACAGGGTCAAAAGATCAAGCCTTATTACGTAATTTTGATAGCGCCCAATTATGCATATTCATACACATACTGCTATGTATGTACCATGGAGACTTATATCTCCATGTATGTACTGTGTGACATTTCGAACTCCCCTGCCTTATGCACAGATTCAACCGTGGAGATATACATGTATCTCCATGATTCAACTATACTTCGCTGCACGAAATGCTTTCATTTAGCGTTCGGCAGGATTCAACATTGTCTATTTGCAAGACCCTATTACAAAGTTATAAGCGTCATTTCTTAAGACGTGCACTGGAAATTGATAAATATTAAAAAATATATATCTTTAAATAATAATTGTGCATTATTGTTATCATTTTAAATATATTTTGTTTAGATTTCAAATCAATATTTGTGAAATTATCAGCATGCGTTTATAACGATAGACTAGGCCTTCAACACACTGATATAATTTTGATACCTAAATACAGAGGGTCAAAGTCAAATATAATGCCCATATACTGTAGGTCCATGCTTAGTTTTTGAGATGACTGCCACTATCAAACTAAGCACAACTTATTGAAATTTCAACGGAGGGCCATTAAACCGAGATTTTTGTCTGTACGGTCCTCAGGCTGGGCTGGTGAGCATAATTATGAGTTTGTTGATAACGCCATCTTCGACGGCTTGATCAAGTGTAGGGAAATAGACCCGTTCACGGTTAGCACATTACTGCAATGACCCCGAATATCCACAGATCTTCAAAACATGAAGAGGTCCTACTTTGTACATTGTGAAATAATCACTCCTACAGCGATGGAGGTGCTACATAAATAGCCTTCGTTTCCCCTTTTCAAAGAATATTTCCACCTGTGTATCATGGAGTGCACTAAATTAGACCGAATTTTCCGTCTCTTTCGTTCGTTAGCCTCTTATTGGGGTAGGGTCAGCCGGCTCTCTCTTTAGAGACGGAAACCGTCTATATACATTCCCTTGATAACGCCACGGCCATTTCAGGTCGTAGTGTTTTGCCCCCAAAATCCCCCAAAATGCCATTTTACCTCGTGAATATCCAAATGTAAATTAGGACTAGGATATAATACATCGGTTCCACTTACTAACTTGATTGAAATAATCCGTTTAATGGTCCCTTTTAAGGAAATTATGGGTCAAAATCGACATCCATGTTGAAAATCTTGCAAGCCGTGTTAAACTCTCGCTGCCGGAGTCATCTAAATCAATCTCATCCCTTCTAGTCTACGCCGAAGGCAAAAATGATTATGAAGGAAAAACTGTGATAACGCCATTACGAACGTGTAGATGGCGCACAGTTTTTCCTTCATAATCATTTTGCCTTCGGCGTAGACTAGAAGGGATGAGATTGATTTAGATGACTCCGGCAGCGAGAGTTTAACACGGCTTGCAAGATTTTCAACATGATGTCGATTTTGACCCATAATTTCCTTAAAGGACAAGTCCACTCGGCTAAAAAAGTTTAATGATTAGATAGACAAAAATCTAAAAAGCCCAAATATAACTTGGTCTTGGAAAATGGAGCTCGGACTTATTTTTAATTAATTGTTTTAATGAGCAATGAACAAGTTAGTGATCGAGCCGGTTCACCCCCACAATGCATCGCGCGACATTTTTTGTGACGTAGGGTCCTCACATCAGAGAGCTAGCTAGCTATAGCGCTAGAGACGATGCCCATTCGCGAACCAGTCAGACCGCAGCGCTCGCCAAATCGCACGTATTTACCACTGATCTCTACGAAAAATCGTAGAGATCAGTGGTATTTACTCAAGTCGTATGCACGTTTTTGCTCCTCATGAATACGTAATAAGCAAAAACATGGCACAGTTCTCATCTTTCTGTTATGCTCAGGATTCATTTAATGACATTGAATTCGTCATGAATATTGAGCCAGAACTATAATCATTATAATGTACTATTCAATAAATAGTGAGTGAAGTTTGAAAATGTGAAAAAAAAACACCAAATAAAACTTGCAAAAAAAAATATTTGAAGAGTCGGATATACATGTTAAATAACCATTTTTATCGGGGGTGCGTCTCGCTGAATTTTGGCTTACCACATAATGTAGATATTTTCCTAACATAATATTATACTTCCTGTCAATGTTTGTCTCAATACCAGTCAGGAACTAGCAAAGTAGTAGCTGATGCATAATAGACTTCGGCGGAAAATACGACATGGCCGATCGACGAGCGTTTCGCATCGAGATCAACCGGGGGATACCACGTTATATATAACTCTGCGTCGATTCGCGGTCCAACCAGTCTGCGCGCTATACGTGAACACGCACGGAAGATAGACGGAGATTAAGGATATTCATGAATTACTCTCGTGTGCGTAACCCCCGGTCGTAGAGGCTTTGCATTGTCCCACATACTTATTATTGTGTACGATATTCATGCGCTACATACTTGTAGAAGTGAACGGAAAGTACAAAGTTGGACACAGATACGCACACAAGTACAATCAAGTACAATATAGAATACCAGCTCTAGGACAGAAGAGGGGATTTAAGTGTCTATATAGGCTATTTTTGGCCAGGCTTTGATATCATTTTAACAAAGAAGACACATTATTTGTATGAAATGTATGTTTGTGTAAATACAAACTTCTTTTTTTTGGGGGGGGGGGGCAATGTGATTTAAAATTGAAAATATGATTGTTCCCATCCCTGCTAATAATTTCATGGTTGTGAAAGTTCTGAAATGTGTTTTTATATTTGTAAACCATAAGTTCATGAGAAGAGCCTTAAACAGGAATTTCTTTTGGTAATTCCCAGACATTTGAGGATGGTAATATTTTATTTCATAGTTCTTTTGTCAATTGTGTTACTCCAGTTCATGTGTATTCCTGGAAATAAAATATTACAAAATTCTTTCCCTTATTCTTTTTTCTGCTTGATTTTGTTTTAAAATGACCCGCGGAATATATATTTCTGAAAATTTATTTTCGGGGTTTGTTTGACCCTCGGATAGAAATATTAGTGTGCGGTGGGCTGAAGGGCTCAAATATAACTTGAAGAATTCTAATTTTCATCTTCAACATCATTATCACAATCGTCATCGCCATCACAATCATTATCATCATCACCATAGCCATCATCGCCGTCACCACCTACATCATCATCACCACCATAAGCATTGCAATCACAACCATCATCGTCATCATCATGATCATCATCTCCATCATCATAATCACCGTCATCATCATCCCCATTATCATAACCATGATCATTATCGCCATAATAATCACCGTCATCATTGCCATCACGAATCACGATCATCACCACCACCGACATCACCATTAATTGCCATCATCACCACCAACCGTTAACGACCAGCATTGCCATCATAATCACCCTCATCATCACCACCATCAGCATTGCCATCAAGATCATGATCGCCATTACCACTGACGTCATCATGATCGCCATTACCACTGACGTCATCACCGTTGCCATCATCATTATCATCATCACCATAGCCATCATGATCAATCACCTTCACCACTGACATCATCACCATCATCTCCACCATCGCCATCACCACCATCACAATCACCATCACCAACGTATCAAAATATGTCAATGCTTGACTATTTATATTATGTTTACAGTGTGTAGGTACTATTTCTGGATGAAATACAAATCTGCAAAAAATATCTTTAAAAAAAAAAATTGTTTTTCTTTTGTGGGGGGCTATTATTTAACAGGTCTGTGTAATTTACATTCTTTAATCAAAATTCATGCTAACTAACCCAGAAGAAAACCAGCTCTGGTTTCTTCTGAATAGCCTAGTAAACAGACAACGGTTAAACAAAAAATGTATTATTTAACACTACTTCTAATAATAAATGCGATAGGACTAGGAATAAAATTTGCATTTTCTAATATTTATATTTTATTTATGAACTGACTTTGACATTTATATTGAGACCATCACAGGCATAAAATGTGTCGCTGAGAATAAAAGTATTATTAGAGTTCAATATTGTTAAATTGTATAAAGGTGACAGTTCTTCTTTCTTCTTCCTCGGTAAATGCTACTTCATACAACGAAGATTGATGTCTGTCAATGTCCCGCAAGCTTCGATGGTTGAGTGCGTCTGTCAGAAAAACAACAACAAATGATTGTTGTTCAGTCAGTTTTCTATTAATATAATAAATGCTTTGTTCGTGTGAAGCTCTGGAATCCCACCTTGGAACTTTGGGAGTATCAGAGATTTTTGTTTTATTGAAAGGATTAAGCTGAACAAAATCCTTTTCGTCCTTCTCCCAAACTCCCCGTTCAAGATTGTTTGTTGCAACGTGAAGCATAACTGCTGATGAGTCTTCAAATTAATAACCATTAAAATGAACAAAGGCCTGGAGTCCACTCAGTCCAGCAAATGTTGATATAGGAATGCAATGGAGACTGATGTGTGATGTCTGTCAAAGTCCCGCAAGCTTCGATGGTCAAGTGCGTCTGTCAGAAAAACAACAAATGATAAGAAGAATAAAATGGCTTTTCAATGTATGGGGATTTGAAAAGAACTTATCAAAGTAGCTAGCCATTTATGGTAGCCAAAACTGGCTTGCTTTCAAATTTATTTTTTATATGAAAACAAGTTACAGGTGTCAGATTCATGAAGTTTTCCCTTCATTTTTCAAGACGTGCACAAGTTCTAAAATGTAAGTGTTTAACTTTTGCTTTTTGTTTTAATTCTGCTCTGTTCATAATCATAATATATACTACTCACACAAGGAATTGTTGCTTATTTCTGTGGCTGGCTGTAAGGTTTGAGTTGACCAGAAGGCAGAACCAAAGTTTGAGAATACCAAAATAATAAAATTAATTATCCTGTAATTTGTCATTCTAATATCCAGCTCAGCTCAGCTAAGGATTCCAGTTCTTTACAATTCGACCACAGTTATCAAACCCCTTCATTACTTGTCTTAACATGTTTAAACCCTTGTAAATATACATTTCAAACATATCATTTGTTCTAGATTTATAATAAATAGCAATGACTAATGAGCAGTCAGTGTCAGCAGTCGATTTATTTACATTGCTGTCGATTTGCGACAACAAAAACTAAAAAGCTGACACAAATATATACACTTGGGACTACTGTATGCGCCACATAATGGAACAGCGACACACAAGAAACCCCGCCATTCCTGACTAAAAGGCCGTAGCCATAGCAATTTCCCGCGGTTTCGAATCATTTTCCGTCTACTTCCGGTAGATTTCAAAAATATAGCCCAATAATTTGGGCAAAATGTCTATGAAGTACATTATTATTTTTAAATATAGATTCTGAAAGACATTATTTGTGTTTAATGTTTTTCAAATAAGTTCATCCCTAACTGTAGTGTACTGAACAACAGTACATAAACTTGTGCTGTTGTGCATTTAGGGATTAGCTTCTTTGAAGAACACTGAACACAAATATTGTTGATTCTTGTGTCATGTTCATAGTGATTAGTGAATGTGATATTATGTGAAATGGAATCATTTAAACTGGAGGTGAAATAATTAATAATGCATGCAAATAAAATAAACACTCGTCGCCAAAAATAGATGACTAATTGACTTAAAGCTTGTCTTCCAAAGATCAGACATACATCCAAACCAAATATTTTCATCATCTTTGTCATCATTAACACGATCCTTATTTATTACTAATAATATCATTAATGTTTCAGGTTATTATTACATCTACAGTATTCCACAGAAGTAAGTACACCCTCACAAATAATTTGCGCTTTAGTCTGGAAAACATCTACAATGTATCTCAGGAAAGCTAGTATTTTGTCATCTGTCATCTGTTTTGTCATATTTACCACAGCGCTACTAAGGTCAACCTATAATTTAGACGAGTGTAAATGGTCATTTCTGGCGCATTGTTTGTATTGACTAGCAGCAACATGCACATGGCACGGCCGCACGCATAGACCTACGACGCTGTAGATCTACGCCTGAGCGGCCCGGGCACGCAGGCATCGCGTACGATACGGTTACTGAATGAAGCCAAGATCTACGTTTGTGGATGTACTTTTTAATTGTTTACTTCATCATATTTTTGTAAGAACATTACCTTTTGACGCTCAGACTCTTCCCGACGTCGTGTTGTTGATTTCCTCTTGGATGGTGGTTGAGGACGGTGGAAGAAGATGGTAGGAATGGCATCGGGTTTTTTAGTAGTAGTTTCATTCGGGCCTCGTACTTCATCACCTTCGCCCGAATTCCTGTAAACAATCAGCCTCGAAGTGGTCCTCGCAAACGACTCTATTTTTGCTAAATTGATATGTCCGTATATTAAACTTGTTCGTCCCAATATTATTCAACCACTGAGAACATCTCTCCCTGTCTTTCAATGGGTTTGGGATGCTAAAGAAACTGTTTTTACTCCCATACCCTGGCCGATTGGAACACCCTTACGCCTGGCACAGCGGCATCTTGACTAGTCAGAATGTAAGACATGCGCTTAGTTGTGAGGACCATACGTCACATCACGTGATCAACAATCTGACATCGGTGCGGCAAATTTAAATGTTTTGCTAGAAATAACCGAAATAGAAATCGCTCTTAAAAATCAACCGATTGAAGTACAGCAGTGATATTTGGCAGTTTTAACCTTTGATTTATTTACAACATGCTATGATTTTTGAAAATTCGAGTGGACTTGTCCTTTAAAAGGGACCATTAAACGGATTATTTCAATCAAGTTAGTAAGTGGAACCGATGTATTATAGCCTAGTCCTAATTTACATATTTGGATATTCACGAGGTAAAATGACATTTTGGGGGATTTTGGGGGCAAAACGCTACGACCTGAAATGGCCGTGGCGTTATCAAGGGAATGTGTATAGACGGTTTCCGTCTCTAAAGAGAGAGCCGGCCGACCCTACCCCAATAAGAGGCTAACGAACGAAAGAGACGGAAAATTCGGTCTAGCACTAAATTAGACCGAAAGCTTCAGTCTCTATACCGTCGGTTGTTCCACTGAGACTACGTCTGGCTCCACTAGACCTCCGGTTATAGAGACAGAACGATCGCCTATGCCAGCCTATGTTGAAGATATCACGGCTAGATTTTAGCCGTTAGGCCCCTCCCACAAACATGAACAAACTTGCCACGGCCGTATTGTTATGCCCCCAAAATCCCCCAAAATGTGCGCCATCTACACGTTCGTAATGGCGTTATCACAGTTTTTCCTTCGTAATCATTTTTGCCTTCGGCGTAGACTAGAGTAGAGTCTCCGGTTTGCGGCATCGCCCGGTTTGCGGCCAGGGGTATTTGTTTTAAAAATAAAATGAATATGACTCGATAATAATCGTTGAAACCTACCGTGGATTCCACGGTAAGTTCTGCTTTGCCGAAAACGTCCGTAGCAGGTGCTCCTGTCGGTACGGAGTATCCGTCAGCGATGTCGGAAATCTACGGCACCAGTCGCCGATGAAAATTCCAGCAGGTGCTAACTTTTAAGTTAAGAGATCGAGGCATGACTAGTAGCTCTATTTGTCCGATATTTGTCCGATTGGAGGTGAAATTTGATGTTTTTGTGGAAGTATGATGGCTGTGGTCTGTCTCCTATCGCAGATATTTTGATTGTGCCACCGCATGGCCAGTTGCATGGGGTGGCCGCAAACCGGCACGTAATTACGTGTTTTTTTCTGGTTTGCGGCGTTAATACACACATAACATGCGGGATCGTGTATGATGGTATGTGTGCTGATGTGTGTACCCGCTATGACCCGATAGTTTCTAGTAGTACGTACCCCCGTATGGGATGATCCATTCGAGGAAAAGGTGAAATTGTTTAAAACTTGACAAATTTACCGTAGCAACAGATAAACATGAGAATTTGGGTTACCCGTAGTAATTTGGTACATGCTTTCATCGTGACGTAGCGCATAAAGCTTTATGACGTACGCGTGCCGCAAACCGGTACTGCGTGCCCGCAAACCGGGGAACTCGAAGCATTTCGAAACGTGGTCAATGCTGACCACGCTGTGGGTCAGTTAAGTTATTTGTGACTTCTATTTAATAAGTAAGTATACTATATGGACTCTTTATTGAGGGTATTGAAGTATTCTGTGAGTATTCCAATAAAAATAGAATCGGCAGTTCCCGCCGATCGGCCGCAGACCGGAGCCACTACTCTAGAAGGGATGAGATTGACGGCAGCGAGAGTTTAACACGGCTTGCAAGATTTTCAACATGGATGTCGATTTTGACCCATAATTTCCTTATAAGGGACCATTAAACGGATTATTTCAATCAAGTAAGTAAGTGGAACCGATGTATTATAGCCTAGGCCTAATGTAAAATTGGATATGCACGAGGTAAAATGACATTTTGGGGGATTTTGGGGGCATAACAATACGGCCGTGGCAAGTTTGTTCATGTTTGTGGGAGGGGCCTAACGGCTAAAATCTAGCCGTGATATCTTCAACATAGGCTGGCATAGGCGATCGTTCAGTCTCTATAACCGGAGGTCTAGTGGAGCCAGACGTAGTCTCAGTGGAACAACCGACGGTATAGAGACTGAAGCTTTCGGTCTAGCACTAAATGTGCATGAATGAATAATGATTACATAACTTTCATGACCACGTATCCAGTATTTCGTCTCCGTGTATTTCAAAATTTGTTCTGCAATGACCTTTATCTGCTCATGCTCAGACTGCAACCGTGAACTGGCTTATTATAAAGGACCGTGCAGATTCTGGACTATGGCTATGCACACAGTGTCACACGCACACAGCATACACGCTCGATTTGCACACCAGCGGAACTCCAGATATAGAGACCGCTGCCCTGCTGGCGCAGTCGATGCGACTGGCATAATTAGCCTCAACAAAGACAATGAATAACCACTTGCCCGACCATTTAACCAATTTCACTTCAAAATAAAGCTGACAAATTCTTCTATTCCCGTTAAATATTCTGGATAATGAATTAATCACTGTAGAATATGATTAAAAGTGATTGTAACTAACCTTCCAAGCTCGGACTTCATGAAATGCTTCGACAAAATAATGAGAGCTAGATATTTGAGATCATAAAGCTGCTAGATATGACATGTGAGTTGCTATTCTTTGCTAAAGTCGCAAAATAAAAATATGACGGTACTGGTATTGTCCTACGCGCGTGATATCGCGTCAACAAAATTGAGGGCACTAATTTTTGAGAGAGTGCTCAGAGCGAAGAGACTCGGGAGGCGGGGTGGGGGCAGTGGCGGATTCAGGGAGGGGCCCCCTCCCCTGGGGAAAAACAGGGAAACACGTTAATTGTACCTTCATTTGTTAAAAAAAAAGAAAACGGGCCCCCTCCCCAAGCTGTAACCGTCCAGGAAGCTCCGACACCGGCGCCGCAGGTTGGTGTGTAGGCAAGAGAGTGATAGCTCCCATGAAAGGCGCCGGTGTCGGAGCTTTCTGGAGTTACCTCCCCTGTGCTCAAGGGGGGGGGGGGGGTCGAGGCGGGGGCGGGGGTGGGTGCGACTTTGCTAATTTTCTGGGGCAAAAAAATAAATAGTGCACCCCCCCCCCCCCCCCACTGAGCAAAATATCGGCCAGCGCGATTTTCAAATTTTCGGGGGCAATTTGTTTTTATTTTTAAATAGTGCTCCTTCCCCCTTTATGAGGATCATCATACAATACATGCACCCTGTACGTCGTATCTCGTTGGCGTCCTTTGCGTAAAAAAGATAGTAGCAGAAAGAAAAAGCCTCATAACTGAATGCGAAACATTATTGCTCATGTCAATTCATCTAAGATTCAAGGTGAACTTTCTTATACCCCCAAAAGAAAACAATTGATGACACGCCTTTGTTGTCTACATTGTCGGAGAGGATGGGGGCATCGCCGAATCTCGGGTGGCACTTATAAGGCCCCTAGTTTTGCAAGCCCTCAAAAACTTATCTCAGAATTTATATGTAGCAGAAAAATTAGTTTCTGAAAGTACGAGCAAATTTTCAGATTATACTATAGATTGAAAATTTGAACAAATTTCTCCTTTGTGATTTAAATTATAAATATTGATAAGAATAATAGCAACCGGATTCTTATTGCATTTAATTGGGGGAAAAAACGAATCGGCTTCAATTCGTAAACAATTGCACACATGTTGTGACATATCTGCGATTCTGAAGCGATATAGGCCTAGTTTTTTTTCTTCCACAAAGGAAGCTTGAAAATGTCTTAAAATGTTGATACTCATATGCAGATCGATCCTCGGTCACTACGAAATGTTACACGTTTAAAAGTTCAGATAAGTTGAATGCTATTTGAAATTGGAGCGAAGGGCTGCCCGCGAATAACAACGACGTATACACAAAGTTTATTTCACAATAAAAAATGGGTTATAAGAAAAATACATCCGTGCACCTTGCTTTCCAAATATAGTAGGGAGTAGTTCGGGCATCGAACTGGGTGCCAGGAATCATCCCCCAAATGTAGCCAGCGAGTGAAGGGAACGAACAAAAAATATAGCAGCTAGAAGAAAACACACACAAACAAGCACACGCAAAAAAGGCACCCCCAAAAAACTAACACCAACTTTCTTTTGGTAAAACATTATTTTTTCATCAAAATGTACAAGGTTACTGATTCACGCCTGCGTGTTTATGAGGGTTTTAGGTTTGCGAGTGACTTCTTGTCATTGATATTTCTCATCAAAAGACACTATGATAATTTGGGCACCTAGTATAGCTCTAGTGCGGATTATAAGGTAATGGTTCACGAATATTGGAACATAGATTATTAGGGATAAGCAGCAGCCCCCCTCACCTTCCTTTGTTTTGCTAAATTGCTCCCTCATTTTCTCCCCGTCCCCCTACTTTTCGGATCAGGCAGAGGCGGCGCTCCGGGGGGGGGGGGTGCCCTCCCACCTTTTCAAGTACCCTAAAAGTGCCCCTTTTTGCATGGGAAAAGTGCCCCTTTTACTTTGACAAGTGCTCCTATTAATTTTGAAAAGTGCCCCTTCCCCTTTCCACTTTGATATGTGCTCCTTTTATTTTGACACATAACCATTTTCCTTTGACAAGTTCCCATTTTCCTTTGTGATAAGTGTCCATTTTCCATTCTCATAAGTGCCTTTTTTAATCTCTAGTAAGTTCCCCTTTTCAGGTACGAGAAGCGCCCCTTTTCACTTTTGATAAGCGCCCCCTTCACCTTTGATAATTGCCCTATTCAAATCTGAGAGGTTCCTCTTTTGCTTTG